TCTGTAATCCCAGCTACTCGGGAGGCTGAGACAGCAGAAATCACTTAAAACCAAGAGGTGGAGGTTGCAATGAGTCGAGGTCATGCCACTGTACTCCAGCCTTGGTGACAGAGTGAGACTCTGATGAAAGGAAAAAAAAAAAACTAGAAAGATCTAAAGTTAACAGCCTAACATCTCAATTAAAAGAACTAGAAAACGAAGAGAAAATGAACCTGAAAGCAAGCAGAAAACAAGAAATAACCAAGATCAGAGTTGAGTTGAAGGAGATAGAGGCACTGAAAACTCTTCCAAAAAAAAAAAAAAAAGTCAACCAATCCAGTAGGTGGTTTTTTGAAAAATAAAATAAAATAAAATAGATGGAAAACTATCTAGGCAAATAAATAAGAAAAGAGAGAAGAATCAAACTCAATTAGAAATAATAAGGGAGATATCACTGATCCCACAGAAATATGAACAACCATCAGAGAATACTAGAAACACCTCTATGCACATAAACTAGAAAATCTAGAAGAAATAGACAGTTTCCTTGCAAAATAAATCCTCCCCAAGACTGAACCCTGAATAGATCATTAATGTGTTCTGAAATTGAGGCAGTAATAAATAGCCTACCAACCAAAAAAAAAAGCCCATGACTAGATGGATTTGCAGCTGAATTTGACCAGAGTTACAAAGAGGAGATGGTATCCTTTCTCCTAAAACTATCTAAAAAATATTGAAGACAAAGAAGTTCTCTCTAACTCATTCTATCAGGCCAGCGTCATCCTGATACCAAAACCTAGCACAGATACAACAACAACAATAGCAACAAAGCATCGTGCCTATATCCTTGATGAATACTGTGCAAAAATCCTCAATATAATACTGGCAAATCAACTATAGCAGCACATTAAAAAGTGCATCCACCACAATCGAGTTGGCTTTGTGCCCAGGATGCAAGGTAGGTGCAACACACGCAAATCAATAAATGTGATTTATCACATAAAGAGAACTAAATACAAAAACCACAAGATTATCTCAATAGATGCAGGAAAAGCATTCAATAAAATTCAACATTCCTTCAGGTTTAAAATTCTCAATAAACTAGGAACTGAAGAAACATACCTCAAAATAATAAGAGCCATATACAACAAACCCACAGCCAATATCATACTGAATATGCAAAAGCTGGAAGCGTTCCCCCTGAAAACTGGCAAAAGAAAAGGATGCCCTTTCTCACCACTCCTGTTCAAAATCGTATCAGATGCCTTGGCCAGGAAAATTAGGAAAAAGAAATAAAGAGTATTCAAATAGAAAGAGAGGAAGTCAAGTTATCTTTGTTTGCAGGTGACCTGATCCTATATTTAGAAAATTTCATTGTCTCAGCCCACAAGCTTCTTAAGCTGATAAGCAACATCAGCAAAATCTCAGGATATAAAATCAATGTGTAAAAGTAGCTAGCATTCCTATACACAAACAACAGGCAAGCAGGGAGCCAAATCATGAATGAACTTTCATTCACAATTACTGCAGAGAGAATAAAATACCTAGGAACACAGCTAAGAAGGAAAGTGAAGGACCTCTTCAAGGAGAACTACAAACAATTGCTCAGAGAAATCAGAGTGGGCACAAAACTAATGGAGAAACATTCCATGCTCACGGACAGGAAGAATCAGTATCATGAAAACGACCATATTGCCCAAAGTAATTTATAGATTCAGTGCTATTCCCATTAAATTACTATTGACATTCTTTACAGAATTAGGGAAAAAAAACTTTTAAAATTCATATGGAACCAAAACAGAGCCCAAATAGCCAAGCCAACCCTAAGGAAAAAAAAAAAAAAAAAAAAAAAAAGCTGGAATCATCACTCTACCTAACTTCAAACTATACTAGAAGAGTACAGTAACCAAAACAGCATGGTACTGGTATAGAAACAGACAGATAGACAAATGAAACAAAATAGAGCCACAAACCTGCAACAATCTGATCTTTGACAAAGTCAACAAAAACAAAGAATTAGGGAAAGGGCTCCCTATTCAATAAATGGTGCTAGGAGAACTGGCTATCCATATGCAGAGAATTAAAACTGGAACCCTTCCTAACACTATATATAAAAATTAAGTCGAGATGGATTAAAGACTTAAATGTAGAACTCAAAACTACAAAAACCCTAGAAGAGAAAATCTAGATGATACCATTCAGGATATAGACATGGGTAAAGATTTTATAACAAAAATGCCAAACGAAATAGCAACAAAAGGAAAAACAGACAAATCAGGTCTAATTAAACTAAAGAGCTTCTGAAGAGCCAAATAAACTATCATCAAAGCTAACAACATAGAGAATGGGAGAAAAATTTTGCAACCTATCCATCTGACAAATGTCTAATATCCAAAATCTACAAGGGACTTAAACAAAATTTACAAGAGAAAAACAACCCCATTAAAAAGGATATGAAAAGACATATCTCAAAAGAAAACATACATGTGCCCGACAAACATGAAAAGCTCAACATCACTGATAATTGGATAAATACAAATCAAAACCACAATGAGATGCCATCTCACACCAATTACAATGGCTATTAATAAAAAGTCCAAAACAACAGATGCTGGTGAGGTTGTGGAGAAAAGGTAACACTTTTACACTGTTGGTGGGAGAGTAAATTATTTCAAGCATTGTGGAAGAGAGTGTGGAGATTCCTCAAAGACCTAGAAGCAGAAATACAATTTGACCCAGCAGTACTATTACTGGGTATACACCCAAAGGAATATAAATCATTCTATTTTAAAAAATACATGTACACACATATTCACTGCAGCACTATTTACAATAGCAATGTCAGGTAATCAATCTACATGCCCATCAATGATAGACTGGAAAAAGAAAATGTGGTACATATACACCACGGAACACTATGAACCCATAAAATATAATGAGATGATGTCTCCTTCAGGGACATGGTTGGAGTTTGAATCCATTACTCTCAGAAAAGTAATGCAGGAACAGAAAAACAAACAAACAAACAAAAAAACCACTTATTATTCTCACTTATTAGTGGAAGGAGGTCAGTGAGAACACAGGGACACATCAGGAAGAACAACACACACTGGGCACCTGTTTCATGGCATGGGGGAGGGGAGGGTGAGCATCAGGAAGAATAGCTGTGGATGCTGGGCTTGGTACCAGGGTGATGAGATGATCTGTGCAGTAAACCACAATAGCACACGTTTATCTATGTAAGAAACCTGCATATCCTGCACATGGACCCCTAAACTTCAAATAAAAGTTGAAAAAAAATGCCTATCTGGTGTATTCTCTATGTTAGACCCAAACTGAGGATCCAGAAGCTGCCACTGGGGGAATCAGGGCTGGGGGCACCCTGGGAAGCCACTCCCTACAGGCCGCCTCCCTTCCTGGCCAGTGATGGAAATGAGAGGGGGAATGTGAACAGCGGTGGAAGTCAGACTCTTGGGAACTAAAGCAGGCCCTGGCCCATGTCCCCCAGCCCAGCCCAGACAGTGTGCCCACCAGTCTTCCCCACCCAGTCAGCCCAGCCATCAGGATTGTTAGATGGAACATGGCTCCATCATCACCTAGGCATGTAGGGAAGATGCCCTGGTCCTTACCAAGCAAGGCCTGGTTTCCAAAGTCCTCTCCTAAGAGCCTTCATGTTTGTCACATCTTACAAGGCCCCTTTCTGCCGTTCTTGCACCCAGCATGTTGGCCAGTCAAGTTCCCTGACTGAGCTCTCCACACATAAGGAGGAAGCCAACACCACTGCTAAATCAGATCATCTCCAGGGTCTCCAGTATCAGTTATATCAGATCCCAGGAACTTACCTGCTCCCAAGGTGACAGAGGAAGATCAAGGAAGGATCTGTATGGTCACTGACCTGGATGAAACCCTTGTGCATAGCTCCTTTAAGCCAATCAGCAATGCTGACTCCCTAGTGCCTGTAGAGATTGAGGGGACCACTCACCATATCCACGTGCTGAAGAGGCCTTATGTGGGTAAGTTCCTTAGATGGGTAAGTTCCTGAGATGAATGGAGGAACTCTTTAAATGTGTTCTCTTCATTCCAACCTGGATAAGTATGCAGATCCTGTGACAGGTCCGCTGGACTGGTGTGGGGTGTTCTGGGGCTGCCTATCCCATGAGTCGTGTTTGTTCCACCAGGGCTGCCATGTCAAGGACCTCAGCCAACTGGGGAGGGACCTGAAGAAAACTCTCATCCTGGACAACTCGCCTGCTTCTTACATCTTCCACCCAGAGAATGCAGTGCCTGTGCAGTCCTGGTTTGATAACACGACTGATATCAACTGCTGAACCTGTCATCAATCTTTGAGGAGGTGAGTGGAGCAGAGAGCATCTACATTAGCCTTGTACAGCAGTGGGCCCTAAGCCTTCCCTGCTTCCCAGCAGTGACCATCACAATGGGGGACTTTCACACCCTATGCCTTTATGATCAGCCTGACAGAGTGGAAGATGGAGCACCTAGCCTCATGGGCATGGAAAGAATGAGAAGTGATTGAAAAGAGCTTTAGGACAGCTTAGATGCTGAGTGGGTGAATGCCAGACCAAGGATGCCCAGAGCTACCTGCCAACAAATTGTTGGGTTCCCGAGATGTGAGTGTGAGAGAAAGAAAGAAAGCATGCGTGTTTTGCCATGAACTGTGGCCCCACATGTAGAGTGTTACAGTGGGGGAGAAACAGCAAGACCAAGACTTTTCTCAAGTTAGCTTGTCTCCTCTCCTGTCACCCTACGAGCCACTGAGTTCCAAAGGGATGAAGACTATTGAACACTCCATTGCAAATCTGGTCTTTCCTCAGTGTTGCAAGGCCTATGCCAAGGAGAAAGGAAGGGTATGCCTTTTGGTGTTCCAGGCACACATCTTTCTGAAATATTTCTCCAGCCAGTTGTTGCAGACAAAAGTTGACATTTCAGGGAAGATGGAGACTTATGTCCAGGCCAGTACTCAAGTCATCAAGTCTTGTGGCCCAAAGGCTATGCTTACTTACCTCCAGCCAAGTGCCAGAGATGGATCATTTCTGCATCTCCCCAAGGCTCAGGTTGTCTCCCTGCCCTACAAGAGAACAGATAAATGATTTCTGTTCTTTTGACTCTGTTTCAAAATTATCTTTCAACTACAAAAAGACTATCCAAAACTGAAAAAAAAAAAAAAGGAAAAAAAGATGTCATACTTACATAGTTGAAAAACACATAGATATGTCTATAAGCAACAGACATGGTTAATTCACATATAAATTAAACATCACATTGTTGTAAAGTGTACCGAGTTAAAAATTATCATTCAACTCATAATATCAAGCTTTAAAAGCAAAAATACAATTCACCAATCTGAGAAAACATACCCCCTCCAGAAAAGAAACAAAATAACACAGAATTGAAAATAAGAAGAGACTTTAATGCATAAAATCCTGAATACAGCATAGATATACAATGAAAAGTAATTCTTTAGATATCTACAGCTATTAACTGTGTGTACTCATGAAAAGCAGACATTTCAAGTCATTGGCATTTAATAAATTGCAGTACAATTATACAGAAAATATATTACAATCATTAACAACAGGTTCTAATGAGAAGATTTTAATAAATAAGCACTAAAAAGACAGGTGAATTTTATTATGTTCCCAATATGTTGCTACTATTCTTACCACAAAATGTAATAAAACTATATGACTATAATATAGCTTTCAGGAGCTAAAAAGTTTTATATTTTCAATTAAAAGAACAACATAAATTTTGCAAAAAACGAGCATTACTGAGGTATAAAGTAAATATTTGGAATTAAAATATAACATCATTTAGATACAGACTAAAAAAAGAATATAAATTTTAATGATTCCTTTCTGCCTACAGTGGGCTTAAAATTACAACAAAAAATTTTAATAAATATGTAGCACCTACAAGAAATTTTATTTACAACTTACATAATGTGTAAATTTGAACAATTTATTTTACAACTTTTGAATCTAAAAATCACAAGCTTGACATGCATTTCAGAAAGTGAAACATAAAGGAGAGTAACATAAGCAAGAGGACAGAATGGGAGGTCCTGCATGCACATCCCACACAACATAATGCGACAGCCACAGCAAACATAAGTGCATTTATGAAAACCTTGGGATCCAGTTCAGAGTTTGTGACACCCAGATGGAGGCAAAGACCAAGGAAGACATCTTCAGAGGGTAAGCACTTGACTGTAGCAGGACGAGCCGCAGACAAAACTCCTCAGACACCGGATTAAAGAAGGAAGAGGTTTTTTATTCAGCCGGGAGCCTCGGCAGACTCGCGTCTTAAGAGCTGAGCTCTCCGAGAAAGAAATACTTGGCCTTTTTAAAGGCTTACAACTTTAAGGGGTCCACGTGAAAGGGTCGTGATAAATTGAGCAAGTGTGGGAAACGTGACTGGGGGGCTACATGCATCAGCTAACAGAACAGAAAGTTTTACAATGTTTTTTCATACAGTGTCTGGAATTTACAGATAACACAAGTAGTTTAGGCCAGGGGTTGATGTTATTCTTATTACTTTGTTTAACTCCTAGGACTGGGTGGTGGTGCCAAGGTTGTCTGGCTATTTATCTTACTTTTGTTTCTCTCTCTCTTTTCTCCTGTCTTGTGAACTAGGCAAGGTGGGGGGAGGAGGGCAGCAGGAGTAGTAGTGGTCTCCTTCCTTATCCCCCACTTTGAGAATTTTCACTAATTGGTGGCAGTTCTCACTTTTATTTTTACTTTCTGAGTCTCTTTGCAAGACAGGACAATAGTGGTTTCTGTAATATACTTATGCTGAAGTTTTCTGATGAACCATGGTAGCTATAAAACCTTTTATCATTTGAAGGAACAAGTGTAATACACAGGGGAGCTACAAGTAACTTTCTATTACCAGTAACATACGTATAATGAGGGTGTTAAATTTTTATAGCTGGAAACTGTTTTCTAAATGAAGACCTAGGATCAAACCTGTGTTAAACCTGTACAGGCACATGTATCAACTTTGTCATGTCCTAAGCAGGTTAGTTTTGTCACTGGGTCTTAAAAGCTTTTTAGCGAGTAACACAGTATATTTTAATAACAGAAGTTTTTCAGAGCCAGATGCTTGAACTTGAGGCATCTGTTTGGGGAAAGAGTTAAAGTAAAGTTGTCTTGAGGCATTCACTCTTTTGCTTCTCAAAGCCATTGGTCTCTTATGTTAGCCTTTTAATAAGCTTAACATGAAGAAACGTCTAGGCTGCCAGCAATGTTTTCAGCCAACTGAGAAAATAGGCTTTTTTTCTGCTTTTACTAAAGAAAGAGGTTCTACTAAGGAACCTCTGAAGGAAGAGGTTCTGGTAACTTCTGGTTTATATGTTTAAAGAATGACTGTAAGACCCGGAATTGTTGCTAGGCTGGCCGAGTTTGGGTTTCCTAAGTAGTATGTGTACAGTGGGGATACCTCATATAGGTGTTTCTTCTAGCATGGTTATGGAGGGGTAACAACAACAAAACAACGTACAGCAAAGACAAAAGAGGTCCTTACCTAGGAAAAAGGTTGAATACAGTGACAGAACAATAGGAAAACAGTATTACAGGAAAACTATTAGTCTTAAGATTTTTAACTACATTTACTTGCTTGATGAGTCCTCAAGCTTCGGCGGTGTGTAGACTAGTCAGCCTCCTGAGTGACCAGAGCAGGGCTGTCGTCATCAGCAGTAGCTTGGTCTCATCTCAGGATCAGCTGGGTTGGATAATCTGTGTCCTGCTAGCTTGTCCACTTCTCCTGAGCTGCCAGTGTTAGTTGACTGTGGTGGATCCAAGACACAACACCTGCAACTTTAACAGCAGTGGCAGTGGACAAGGTTACAGTATAGGGCCCATCCTATATGGGTCACAGAAAAATTAGATTTTACTTTAAACAGAGTCACTAGATTTAAAGGGGTGTCAGACTTATAGGCATTTTCATTTATTTTATTATGAACACTTTGTATGGCTATTTTTAAAGCCTGCATTTGCTTTCTTAAGGTTAATTTCTTTAGTTTCTGGCAGTCACCTTTAATTTGACCTACGATTTGGGGGTGGCCAACCAAACAAAATTTTATAGGGCAAATACCTAGTTTGTTTGGTGGGGGTGCACCTGACTCAGAGGAGGACCATAGGCAAAAACTTAATTTTATCTTAAATGAGCAAACAAGTACTAGCATGTACAATAGTCTCCAGCATGGGGCAGTTCTGTAAATTCTATAAGCAAGTTTTCACAAGGTATGGCTTTTCTTACTGTTTAAGTTACTTAGAGGGGGTTTTCCTCCCCATTCCCCCTTTGTAACTCTATTTAGTGGCTTAGCCTTCAGTGAGTTACTGGAATCCAGATACGGCAGAATCTTGCTGCTTTTAACTTTTAATGTGACCATGGGCTCCTGGGAGCCTAATGAAAAGGTGCTTAGTCCGCCCTAGTCTTTATATTCTTCAGCTCCTGTCAGTCTGATCAGATTAGTATTTGGTTCCTACAAGGTGCGGCAGCCCTTGGCTGATGGCCTCTTTGAACATTTACCTTTTTAGTGTCCTTTCCTTTTGCATCTCGCACATTAATCTCTCTCTAGCCTTGTCCGGCTCTTGAATCCTTGCCTAACTTGACTTCTTTTACATTTACATCCACATCCACGTCTTCTCACATGACTAATTTCTCTTTTTTTTTACACTTAATGGTAGTCTTTTTCTTTTTGCTCTTTTTCAGTTTACTGATGTCCAAGCCTGGTCCCAGAGGTCAGGCCTGCTAGAGTAAACTGAGTCCAACAGTTCTACACAATCATGCTTGACAGGGCTCTCTGATACTGGGAGCAAAGTGTGGGTTCAGGGTGTTACAAACTTCAATAGTTATATGGGGATTTTCACAGAGCAAACTTTGGTACTTGGTGAGTCTAGCATTAGTTAACCAATGATGTCCTTTAGTATTCATTAAAGTCACTACAGCATGGGAGGTCTTTATGTTCAAGTTTTGCCCAAGAGTCAGCTTATCTGCTTCTTGTACTAGTAGGGCAGTTGCTGCCAAGGCCCTCAAACGTGGGGGACATCCTTTAGAAACCCCATCTAGTTGTTTACAGAGGTAGGCCACCGGCCTCAGCCACAGACCCACAGTTTGGGTTAAAACTCCAACTGCCATCTTTTCTCTCTCTGACACATACAATGTAAAAGGTTTTGTCAGATCGGGTAGCACCAACGCTGGGGCTGACACAAGTTTTTCCTTTAACTCATGAAAAGCTTGCTGTTGTTGGGATCCCCATTCAAAAGGTTCCCGGTCCCCCCCGTTGTGACCTCATACAAAGGCTTGGCTAATATTGCAAATTTTGGGATCCACAGTCTGCAAAATCCCACAGCTCCTAAGAATTTTCTCACTTGCCTTCTGCTCTTAGGCTACGGTAGATTGCCAATGACCTGCTTTCCTTCTGATCCCAGGCTGCGCTCCCCCTGTTGGATAGTAAATCCCAGGTAATGTACCTGCTCTCAGCAGATCTGAGCTTTTTGCTTGGACACTTTATACCCACAGTCCTCCAGGTGCCAGAGTAGGGCATCTGTTTCCTTGGCACACCCGACCGCCATGGGGTGTCCCAGCAGAAGGTCATCAACGTACTGGAGCAACATGCAGCCTAGGTCTCTGGTGCGAAACTTCCGGAGATCTCGAGACAATGCCTCCCCGAAGATGATGGGGGAGTTCTTGAACCCTTGGGGAAGCCAGGTCCAAGTGTACTGAGTAATGACACCTGATTCTGGATCTTCCCACTGAAAGGCAAACAGCTTCTGGCTCTCAGGGACTAATCTGATGCTAAAGAAAGTGTCTTTCAGGTCCAAGCAGGTGAACCAGGTGTCCTCAGGTGGCAGCAACCCAAACAATGTGTACGGGTTAGGTACTGTTGGATGTAAAGTCACTGTAGCTTGATTAACCAAGTGCAAATCCTGTACAGGCCTGTAGTCCTTGGTCCCTGGCTTGGGAACCGGCAGGAGGGGAGTATTCCATGGAGACTGACAAGAAACTGTAATTCCAAAGGTTCTTAGGTGCTTGAGATGGACCTGGATACCTTCAAGAGCTTCTCTGGGGACTGAGTACTGTTTTTGCCTAACTAGCTGTGCCCAGGCTTAACTTCTATAAGTACGGGGGCTTGGTTGACTGCCAACCCTGGGGGGTTGTCTTCCACCCACACTTTTGGCCACCACTTAGCCAGAGCTGGTCTTATCTCCTGGCTCAGCTCAGTTAAGAAAAGTCTCCATTCATCCTCTCAGGGTACCGTAAGGGTCATAATGACTCCCGTTACAGGTCAGTTTAGCAGCAAAGAGCCATGCTCTGTAAAAGAGATAGTGGCTCTCAGCTTGCTAAGCAAGTCCCTTCCCAACAAGGGAAAGGGACAGTCAGGCATGTACAAAAACTGGTGAATCACTTTATGTCCTCCTACAGTGTAAGTCTGAGGCAAGCAGAAAGCTTGCTTTGCTGAAACCTCCGTGGCTCCAATTATGTCAATAGTCTTTTTGGATAAGGGGGCGACTGGGGTGGTTACTACAGAATGTTCAGCACCAGTATCTACAAGGAAATCAATGTCTTTATCTCCGACTGTCATCCTGACCATACGCTATTTGGGGGCACTTGAGCCGGGTCCCCCTCAGTCCAATAACCCTTCTGCCAGGTGGAGCAGGGCCTCTTCCTCCTTGTCTAGGGCCTCCTGCTCTGAGTCTCCTTGTTTTCCTTTTAGCTGAGGGCATTTGTTCTTCCAATGTCCCATTTCTTTACAATAAGCACACTGGTTACTCTTAGGGGCATTTGTACCTCAGTTTTGTGTCATAAACCAGCTGCCAAGGGAGGGTTTTCTCCGGAGACTTTACCTCCTTTCTTGTCTACTCTGAGTGGCCTAGGGACATGTTTGTCTTGTGGAGGCGCAAGCACTGTGGGCTCAAGAGTGGGGAGCCTCTCTCCCTGGTAAGGGGAGGGCACCACTGGGATCAATGGTGCCATCTCCTGCAATGGATCTTCTGATGTTGGGTCAAACAGAACTTCAGGAGTTGATTTCCCACAGTGAGTGGAGCGAGATCCTTCCTTGGCTGTCTGTCCCTTTGCTACTAGCACTGCTGCTGCTCGCCCTTTTAGCCACTGTGGGGGGTCTAGCACCAGTTGTAACCAAGTGTCTATCTATGGGAACTGGTCTGAGTGTCCTGACTTACCAGTTACCTTGTGCCATACCTTAGAACAAGGAACCTGACCAGGTTTCCTACTGATGGCCAACCCACTTCTAATGTTGGCCAATCTATTTTACACAAAGTTCTAAGTTTTTCTGGTGTCATAGTAACCCCATAGTCTCCATTAAATCTCTTCTTAGAATTTTTTCAACATAGTTCCTAGTGGAGTGGGCTTACTTTGTGTCTGACCCATGTTTCCTCAAGACAAAGCACCACGCTCACACCACACACACACCACAAAACAAAGAATGGGTAAAAAGGGTGCACACACACATTTTCAGTTTATACCAAACCAGAATCAAAACCAAAATCAGACTATCCAGAAATCAGAGCCAGGTCAAAACCAAAACCAAAGTATCAAACAATTCAAATCAAGTCAAAAACTAAAACCAAAGTATCAAGCAATCAATTCAAGTCAAAAACAAAAACCAAAGTGCTGGTACAGGCATGCCGTGGGTGATCAGGCCACGCTTCCACTCAAATGGAGTTGGCAAGTTCTAAAGACTAGTCTTACCAAGTTTCAGATGTCCGGACTTAAAGTGCCAGTTCCTTCCCGGTGTTCAGCCACTATGTTGATCCTCCATGGGGGCCTGCTGTACACTGCTCTGAGGAGACGTTCCACCAGGGCAAATGCCTACCCAGGAGTGCTCTCAGGATCTGCATCACTCAAGCTGGCCAGAGTCCCCCACAGGGACATTCTACAGGGCAGGCATAAGCTGCCTAAGGGGCTGCCTTGACCATCTGTTAATCACCTCACTTCCTGGTCAGGGAACCAAGAAATGTAGCAGGACAAGCCGCAGACAAAACTCCTCAGACACTGAATTAAAGAAGGAAGAGGTTTTTTATTCAACCAGGAGTGTCAGCAGACTCACATCTTAAGAGCTGAGCTCCCCATGAAAGAAATATTTGGCCTTTTTAAAGGCTTACAACTTTAAGGGGTCCACGTGAAAGGGTCGTGATAAATTGAGCAAGTGTGGGAAACGTGACTGGGGGGTACATGCATCAGCTAACAGAACAGAAAGTTTTACAATGCTTTTTTCATACAGTCTCTGGAATTTACAGATAACACAAGTAGTTTAGGCCAGGGGTTGATGTTATTCTTATTACTTTGTTTAACTCCTAGGACTGGGTGGTGGTGCCAAGGTTGTCTGGCTATTTATCTTACTTTTGTTTCTCTCTCTCTTTTCTCCTGTCTTGTGAACTAGGCAAGGTGGGGGGAGGAGGGCAGCAGGAGTAGTAGTGGTCTCCTTCCTTATGACCAAGTGGCAGACTTGCCAATCATGGTCCCGGCTTCAAAACAGAACACTGCCACATCTTACTTTAGACTTGGCTATAACTTATTTGGCTTTGGTCCGGCCACTGCAACAATCTGCCAAAAACCCAAGAGAATTCATACTCACATGAGATTTTGGTGACAGGCTTGCAGAACTTTGTTGTTTCTGTGTCCCTGAATCAGGCAAAACACACATTCTTTATTTCTCTAGCCATGGTCTGCAAGAAATCTTCACATTGATATGATGAAATGCTAACTAACTATATGAAAAATAATAAAATATACATATCACTAAAAATGGTAAATACATCCTGAAATTCAGAATACTTTAAATTGTTATCATCTTAAACTGGACTGTTAAAATACAAGATGTTTTATGTAAGTCTCATGATAACCATTAGAAAAAAAAAATGTAGTAAAGAAAAAGAGAAAGGAATTAAAACATATAAAAACAAAACATTGGATATGGTGGCTCCTGCTTATAATTCCAACACTTTGGGAGGCCAAGGTGGAAGAATCATAAGCTCCAGAGTTTGAGACCAACCTGAGTAAAATGAGGAAACCTTTTTTCTACAAAAAAAGTTAGCTGGGTGTTGTGGTACCCATCGGTAGTCCAAGCCACTTGGGTGGCTAAGGTGGGAGGGTTGCTCCAGCAGAGGAGGTTGAGGCTACAGTGAGCTGTGATGTGCCACTGCACTTCAGTCTGAGCAAGAAAGCATAAGTTTGCCTCAACAAAAATCAACAATACCACAGGAAAGACAGAACAAGAAAATAAGAAGCAAATGTAAAATGGACAGAAAACTACATACAATAGTAACCGCTTACCTATCACTACTTTACATATAAAAAGATTAATTTATCTACTAAACAGATACTGTTATAGACTGAATGTCATCTCCAAAATTTAGGAGAAAATTTAATAGCCAATGTGATAGAATTAACAGATGGAACCCTTAAGAATTAATTAAAATATAAGCACTTTGCCCTCATGAATGGATTAATGGTCTTGTAATGGGAATGGGCTAATTATAACGAAAATGGGTCTGTTACAAAAAAAAAAAAACACAAAACAAAACAAAACTCTCTCTCCCTGACATCTTTGGACAAGTTATTAACCAGCAACAAGACTTTCGATACATAGTAGTGTCATGTTCTTTTGCCTTCCCAGCCTCCAGAATCATGACTCAAATAAATTTCTATTGTTTATTAATTACCAGTCTGTGATATTCTGCTATTGCAGCAGAAAAGAGACTAAAACAGACAGGGTGGATGAATGAATCTTTTAAACCCTATAATATGCTGCATACAGGAGATTCACTTCTGAATTTAGAGCATTGGCTAAAAGTGGAAGGATAGAAAACGATATTCCATGCAAATAATAACCAAGGGAGTGCATTGGTAGTTAAGCTTAAATTAGACAAAATAGACTTTCTAACAACATCTGTCACAAGTATGAAATGAGTTTACCATATAATAATAACAGAGGTTAATTTGTCAAGAGAATATTACTATATATATTTATACATCCAAAAGTGAGGCTTCTAAATATAAAAAGCAAATATTGACAGAACTGTAGGGAGAAGTAGAAAGAAATCCAATAATAGAAAACCTTAATGAAATATACAATAAAGGACAAATAGTTGATAGCATTGTAAATTGGCAAGGGGAAGTTGGCCTCATTTGTTGCATTTGAGAATGTGACAAAGTGGGAACTTATACAGCAAGTCTGAGTTAAGCTGGAAATCAGGGTGGTCGATTAGAGGTCCCGCTTACCATATATTAGAAAAACACAGGGGAAAGCCATTCCTCCTCTGGAGTGTTAAAATAATTAAAAAGCAGAAAATTAGACTAAAGTGGCTGTAATGCCCTGTGTTCATAGGTTTAAAAAAAAAAAAATCTAAAACCTAACTCAAATACCTTTCTTAAAAATCACTCTTCAGGCTGAAACAAAATGCAGTCTTAACCAATTATACACCTGCAATTAACCTCTGATTATATCACCAGGAAATTTCCATCTGGATAGTTCAAATAGGGCGACTACATAACTATAACCAGTTTTTGAACTTGGGTTGCTTTCTTTCTTACGCACCTTATAAAAGCCTTTCCTTCATGCCCCTTGGGTGGACCACAAATCATGGCTGGGTGCTTTCCATTTCACCAATCGCTGTTTGCTCAAATAAACTGGTTAACGTTTTAACACGGACTCCCGTTAAGTTTTAACAAGAGAGACTGGGGACCTCACGGGCCGCAGCTCCTGCCAGGCACACACCCAGCGGCGGCCCTGATGACCCACCTGGCATCCCTGAACACTCTGGGAAATTCTCAGGGCTGTGGGCGCAGAGCAGGGCGCTGCCGAAAGACTGGACCGGACGAGAGGGGCGGGTCGCGGGGGTCCCCGCTGCTGGCCCAGAGGCCATCTTGCAGCCACAGGGGACTGAGGGCTAAGCTGCCGGAGACCCGGATCTGACTGTGGGGAGGCCGGTTACGCCGGTTTCACAGATCACTTTCGCCCCTCGGGATGCCTAACTCTGCATACTCACCATTTCCCAGCTTCCGGGACGTCCGGGCAACTTAACTATGCGTCCCCAAGGATCCACAGCACACAGGGCAACAGGGACTGTGAGGGAGTTTCCCGGGGCTCCCAAGGTGCAGGAGGCTCAAGAGTGGAGACAGAACCCAAGCTCCTGCGCCAGCACCAGAGAGAGACAAAGACCCCGCCAAACTCCAGAAGCCACGCCCTCCTCTCCTCTCCAACTGCGCACCTGATTGGGCGGTTCCACACCAGCGCCGCTGATTGAATAAAACACCAGGACCCACTCACCCCTGCCCCACCCCTGCCTCTACCCCCGCTCACCCTCAACGTTAGTGTATTTTTGTTTCTTTGTTTTACTTTAAGTTCTGGGATACCTGTGCAAAACGTGCAGGTTTGTTACATAGCTTTACATGTGCCATGGTGGTTTGTTGCACCTATCAACCTGCGGTCTAGGATTTAAGCCCCGCATGCATTAGGTATTTGTCCTAATGCTCTCTCTCCCCTTGACCCCAAACCCCTAACAGGACCCAGTGTATGATGTTTTCTTCCCTGTGTCCATGTGTTCTCATTGTTCAACTCCCACATATGAGTGAGAACATAAGGTGTTTGGTTTCCTGTTCCTGTGTTAGTTTGCTGAGGATAATGGTTTCCAGCTTCAATCACCTCCCTGCAAAGGTCATAAACTCATTCTTTTTTATGGCTGCATAGAATTCCATGGTGTATATGTGCCACATTTTCTTTTTCCAGTCTATCTTTGATGGGCATTAGGGTTGGTTCCAAGTCTTTGCTACTGTAAACGGTGCTGCAATAAACATACATGTGCATGTGTCATTACAGTAGAATGATTTATATTCCTTTGAGTGTATACCCCAGTGATGGAATTGCTGGGTCGAATGGTATTTCTGGTTCTAGATCCTTGAGGAATCACCACACTGTCTTCCACAATGGTTGAACTAATTTACACTCCCTCCAGCAGTGTAAAAACGTTTCTATTTCTCCACAGCCTCACCAGCATCTGTCGTTTTCTGACCTTTTAATAATTGCCATTCCAATTGTCTTGAGATGGTACGTCATTGTGGTTTTGACTTCCATTTCTGTTTCTTGGCCACATAAATTTCTTCTTCCTCCTCCTCCTCCTCCCCTCCTCCTTCTCCTCCTCCTCCTCCTCGTCCTCCTCCTCCTTCTTCTTCTTCTGCTTCTGCTTCTTCTTCTTTTTCTTCTCCTTTCCTCTTCCTATTCTTCTTCTTCTTCTTTTTGAGACAAAGTCTTGCTCTGTCACCTAGGCTGGAGTGCAGTGGCAGGATCTTAGCTCACTGCAACATCTGCTTCCCAGGTTCACGTGATTCTCCTCCCTCAGCCTCCCGAGAAGCTGTGATTACAGGCACCTGCCAACACACCCGGCTAATTTTTTGTTTTTGGTAGAGACGGGCTTTCACCATGTTGGCCAGGCTGGTCTGGAACTCCTGAACTCGTGATCCACCTGCCTCCACGTCCCAAAGTGCTGGGATTACAGGTGTGAGCCACCATGCCCAGCCACAGTGTCTTCTTTTGAGAAGAGTCTGTTCATATCCTTTACCCACTTTTGATGTTTTTTTTTTCCCTTGGGAATTTGTTTACGTTCCTTGTAGATTCTGGATATTAGACCTTTGTCCAATGAATAGGTTGCAAAAATTTTCTCTCATTCTGTAGGTTGCCTGTTCACTCTGATGATAGCTTCTTTTGCTGTGCAGAAGCTCTTTAACTGGATCTCATTTGTCAATTTTGGCTTTTGTTGCAATTGCTTTTGATATTTCAGTCGTGAAGTCTTTGCTCATGCCTATATCCTGAATGGTATTGCCTAGGTTTTCTTCTAGGGTTTTTATAGTTTGGAGTTTTACATTTCAGACTTCAATTCATCTTGAGATAATGTTTGTATAAGGTGTAAGGAGGGGATCCAGTTTCTGTTTTCTGCATATGGCCAAGGAGTTTTTTCAGCACCATTTGTTAAATATGCAATCCTTTCCCCCATTGCTTCTTTTTGTTAGGTCTGTCGAAGATCAGATGGTTGTAGATGTGTGGTGTTATTTCTGAGGTCTCTGTTCTGTTCCATTGGTCTATATATCTGCTTTGGTACCAGTGCCATGCTATTTTGGTTACTGTAGCCTTGTCATATACTTTGAAGTCTGGTAGCATATTTTGTGCTGTTTTGGTTACTGTAACCTTGTAGTGTAGTTTGAAGTTTGGTAGCATGATGCATCAAGCTTTGTTTTGTTGCTTAGGATTGTCTTGGGTGGACAGGAAAACAGGCTCAAATAGTTGGGGTCACATGCCCAGAGTATCACAGCTAATTAAGAATTGAGTTGAGACTTGAAATGCACATGTTCTTTCCCGTACCTGGCTCTGTTGTGTAATGCATCTTAGCAGCTATTTAAGGATAGGAAGTAGAATATTTGGACATCTTTTAAACGACTTTTAAGCGTTTTGATAATGCAGGAAAGACCCTCATCCCATCCCTGAGCCCCTTTCTCACCATGCTGCACCCCACTGCTGACCACATCATGGGGTGGCCATTAGGAATCAGGTGGGCAGCGGGGGCTGGGAATAAATAAGCAAGAATTACGTTGACCAAATTTACTCATCTTAGAAATGTTCTACCACCATACTCTGTGAAGTGATTAATCCAGGGTAATTGTGCCCTGACTGCGCTGCATCTCAGTCTGACTTGTCTTTTTGAAAATCACTGGATTACTGTCATCAATGGGGGTATTTCTCTATTTGAAAACAGCCACTGTCCTCTCAGGTGTCCTGATTTGATTTGCTAGTTTAGACCCAGAAGGTAGCAGTGAGAAAATGTTTGGGCCACATCAGAATACCTATTTCCAGCTGGAGAACATATAGAAATTTCTTAATAATATCTAACCGTATTCTCAATAACCATTATATTTAACAGTGACAGCTTGGAAGGCAGGGCGGGACACTGATGACACAATCTTCAAAGTTTAATTTGGTTATAAGGTTTTTTTTGTTCTTGTTTTCTTTTGTTTTGTTTTTGGATACAAGGTCTTGCTCTGGTGACCAGGCTGGAGGGCAGTGGTGCAATCATAACTCATAATTTCATTGTAACAGTTCTTTAAAAACTATTTTTGGCTGAGTTTGGTAACTCACAACTGTAATCTATACACTTTGGGAGGCCAAGATGGGATGATCGCTTGATTCCAGGAGTTCAAGAAGAGTCTGGGCAACATAAGTAAGCTCAGTCCCTAGAAGAAATTTCAAAAATTGACTGGGTGTAGTATTGAATGCCTGTAGTCCCAGCTACTTGAGAGGCTGATATGAAAGGATCTCTCAAGCCTAAGAGAGGCTGCTTTGAGGCTGCAGTGACCCATGATTCAGCTACTGCACTGACAGAGTGAGATGTGTGTGTGTGTGTGTGTGTATGTGTGTGTATAAACAATATGAATGTGAAAAAAACTCAAGTGTGGGAGAAAAGTAGAAGCCCATGGTGGGGGATGTGGAGAAAGGTGAGTGTGGTTCTAGCAACTCAGTGAGACTTGGTTTTCCATCTTGAAGAACTGCCCATCCGCACTGGAATCATAGCCTAGCACACACCAGTTCTCACACTACACCTGCTGGGATACCACTATGTATCATTTTTTTAAAAATAAAATCTTTCACCTAAGATGAGGAGAAGAGAAAATGAGGGTTTCACATCTAAAGCCTTCATTTTCTTTATGAAACCACAGCCACTTGTCATTTCAGTTTTCCAAAGGCGACTGATGGCACTAATAATCTTAATGAATCAACCAGGAAAAATGGGCCTCTCAAGTGAGGAGGAGGCACAATGGTAACTAACCCCAATCCATTCTCAGTTTTACGTGGTGCCTGTATCTCAAGAACTGGAGTTAGCCATGTGAACCATGTTCACTAAACAAGTCCAGAAGAAAGAATATTTAGTACAACACAACCATGAGGCTGCAAATCAAACTGGTAGTGGAATCATGCATGAGGATTCAGTGCCAAGACACTGGTGGCTACCCTTGGGTGTCACTTAAAACTTTGAGGTGAAGGACATTTTTTTTTCCAGTTGGCTCAGGGAAACTAATAAACATTAGAATTGAAATCTGTTTTCCTTTTCAAAATTTCTAAGACATAGAGGACTCTCTAAACACTCCAAAAGACATTCAGATATACATGCAGGAGAGGGCCTGCCTGCTCTGCAGAGGGATGACTGAGCAGCAGCCACCAGCTGTAATAGCTTTAAACTCCTCCTCTCATAGGGACAGGTCACCCCCCACACACACACCCTTAATTCATGGGCTCTGGCTGTCAGGTGCACCTGGGGGACCGCCTTCCTCCCATCTCATGAGCTCTCCAACAGAGTCCAGCTCACTCTAAAACCTACCCTAGGATGGTACGTCGTAGACTCTCCTCCATTCTCCCAGTGCAGTGTGACTTCAAGAGAGTGCCCCCCCCATCCTCTTACCTCAAGTGATGTGAAAAGGCCTGGTGCCCAGGCAGTTAGATGTTCAGTGACACTCTCATGAGCCTGGTAAGTGGCAGCTGGGTAAACCCCAGCTGAGTGCCTGTGACTCTACCCTCTTACCTCCCACTCAAGTGACATTATAAGCATAATTTTACATTTGATCCAATTTACACATATTCTTCTTTTCATAACATTCCTCACAACAGCCCTCACAACCAAATGAGTCTAGGTTACAGAACACATGGGCGAGCTGGGGTAACAGGTTTCACTTATTTTATTCCAATGTGAAATGAAGAAGTGATGGTTTAAAACCAAGACAAAGCTGTTTATCAGCTGTGGGGTTGCTACACTCGCTAGCTCATGCTCACTTCCTTTCAAACAAGGTATCTGGACAGACCATATTCATAAGTAGCTGTTTGCAAAACCCCAGGCAGAAGGCCCAGTCAGACACAGCTCCCTCAGGCTTACATGGTGGCGACTTCCTCCTCCATGTTTAGGCTCTGACAGCAGGTAAGGGAAGGAGCACAGGCAGCGGGGGACTGGGAGCCACCAGGGACCGTATGGATTCCCAAACTCTCCAGAGCTATTCTCTGTAGAAGGGGTTGTGTGGCAAGGACCAGGTATGGAGCTGGGTTCCACAGAGAGGTGACAACCACTTCTGTATCTCTAAATTTCCCCCAGGATCCATGATCCAGCCCTGCTTTACCCCAGGCCCTTCACCC